GGGGGGGGGGGGGGGGGGGGAAACGACGCGAAGCGTTTAAAATTGGTAGGATTTGGGGTTTAGTGCCGGCGGGATTCAAGCAGTTCGGGGTACCTCGTGATGGAGTCCGTATGATAAGGAGCCCACTGTGGAGGGTCGAAGTCTAAGTTAAGGGGATACTATGTTTTAACTAATAGGGGTTGCTACAAGAAGGTCTTTCGCAATCTAAGCTTGTCAGTTCGGCCCAAAGGTGTTTGGGGTTTGGGGTTGGGCCCTTCACTCGGGGTATGTGATGGATTTCGATTTTTCAAACTCGGAAACCATACAAATCACAAACCCTAAACCCTAACCTTTTGCAATAGCGGCCAGGCCAAGAAACCCGCCACATAGCTGGCAAAGCAGAAGGTGAACCTGCACTTCTTCGCAACATACTCCTCTCATCTCTGTTGGGAAGATCTACGCACTTTCTGCGAATAGTTCAAGGGGCTTCTTGCGGGAAGCAAGTGCAGGCATCACAAACCAAAGGTAGCTTTCCGAGAAACAGGGATCCTAACACACATATGCCCGGGCTCTCTCATGCAGTCTTTTGCCCATTGCTCTCGCGCTCGGAACCATGAAGCTCATCCTATGCGTCGAAGCCGAGGCTGAAACACCTTAACACCTAGGCGCATGCTTCAAAGTTCATGGGCACTTGCAAGTCACACAATCACATAATTTACATGAAAGGTTTGTGTTAAAAATGACCGGTGATGACGACCAGGACATGCAGTGCGAATCATCTCCTCAGGACCCTGCGCGCACAAGCGTCCCAAGGAGAAACACACCCAGAAGACTCCGTATAAACCCTTACAAAAACCTGTATAAACCACTGACAAACCCTTCCGAGCCGAAAGCCAAACCGTTCTAAACCCCCTAAGAGGATCCCAAGGAGCGGCTGTAAGCAACCTTAAAACCCCCTTATAGAACCCTGACAAAACCCTTAAAGGAACCCATAAAGGAACCCTTAAATTAAAGCGAACCCTTAAAGGAATCCTTAGTCCCTAAACCCTAAACCCTAAACCCTAACCCCTAAACCCTAAGCCCTAAACCCTAAAACCCTGATCCCTAAAATCCTAAACCCCAAACTTTTCGGCACAAACCCCTCTGAGCCTAGAATCCTTAAAGGGAGCCCTAAGTCCCATGATCCTTTGAGGTGCAAACCCCTCTAAGCCGGTTTTCCCAGGAGCGGGAAGGACCACAGCAAAGACCAACTTGTCGAGCCTGGGAACGACGTCTCAGCATGGAGATGCCCTGGTTTACTTAGCGGCCCAAGCAACTTAGTAGGTCGGTTATAGGTAGGGTTATAATTGGGGTAACTCCATTTAGGGCACTTATAACTCTACTTATAACTGCTTACTAAGTCCCTGGGCCTCCAAGTAGAGTTCGGGATGAAGGGTTCAGAGTTTAAGGTTTTGGTTTTTTGAAGACCTAGGGTTACCTGGGTTTAGGGTTTAGGGTTTTGGGTTTCGGGGTTTCGGGTTTAGGGTTTAGGGTTCAGGTTTTTTGAAGGCCTAGGGTTTAGGGTTCAGAGTTGAGGGTTCTTCGAGGTTTAGGGCTTGGGGCTTGGGGTTCAGGGTGTACGGTTTAGGGATCAGGCTGACCATCTAAGATCGGTGTGCCCAAACAACACACAGCATCGGGGCCTGAACAAGTAGAGTAGTGTAGGGGCCTTAATAATTAGAATAGGGTTTCGCGGTATATTATACCATTATTATAATAAGGAACCCCCAAAGTAGTGTTGGTAATTATTTAGGCCCCTATAGTAGTGCTATAAGGGTCTCGAAGCTGAAACTGGTTCAAGAAGTGCGTGAATATTTTAGAATAGGGCTTGGAGGTCTACTGTAATGAGGCCTAGGGTAGATGTTAAGAGTTCTTTCTGTGTTAAAGATCTAATAGACGAAACATATTATTCGTTGTGTATCAAATATAGAAGATCATACAAGTAAACAAGTAAATCGTTAAGCCATTTATGCATATAAACACAAGGCTAACAGATATACATACATGTATATTACCTACATATACTATACTATACTCTACTATACTATACTATACTCTACTATACTCTACTATACTGTACTCTACTGTACTATACTTTACTATACCTTACTATACTATACTATACTGTACCATACTGTACTATACTGTACGAAACTGTACTATACTAGTACCACACTTTTCTATTCTATAGTATAATATACTGTACTGTACTGTACTATACTATACTATGCTCTGCTATGCTATGCTATGCTATGCTATGCTATGCTATGCTATACCAAACTGTACTATGCAATGCTATGCTATGCTAGTGCTAATACTAATGCTAGTACTACTGCTAATACTAATGCTCTAAGTGCCCAGAAACCGTACTTAAGGCAAGAATTCAATGCGGATTGGGGCACTTGGTGAGTAGAGTTGGAATTCTGCACTCTGAAACAATTATTATGCGTCGATTTCATTGCGACCCTAAAACACTATGGCATACTATGGCTCGGCATTGCGTTCCCCAAAGACCGTGCATGCCCGCACCTCCATCCCTAACCACCCTAAACCCTAAACCCTACACCTCCTAAACCC